TGATTTCCTGGACTTTCAAGCGGGGATTCGTTCTCGTAATATCCTATCGGAGACCTCGTGCCGAGGCCTGCCTCAACTCCATCGCATCGTGGTATAGCAAGTGCCACGAGAAGAAGTTTCTAACGCCAGCACCCAAGGATTATTCCACACACTTGTATCCTGTATTCTGTTTTATTCCAATAAACAGTTCTTAATCTTCGTATACTTCTTGTTCTATGGTAGATCGGTCCATACATATTTTATGAATCTGGGCTCTATACATTACAACTATTCCATTCACCATGGCTAGGTTTTTCAAAATTGTGAGATTTTAAGAACTTGTTTTAAAATATTATTGAAAGAAGGAGAGCAGAAGTGCAGGCTTTCCTGCTTTAGCACAGCAGAAAACTGAGTCGCCTTACAAAGGTACAAAGAAAGCACCACTTTCTACTAAAATTTGTTGGAAGCCTTTGTTATTCACGTGCAGCATAGGAACACATACACGCAAAATGACTCCGATGATTTGAGGATTTCGATATGACTGCTCAATTAGTCGGCAATTTCTTTAAGATGATAAGAGACAACTGTGGAATTCAAGTAGAGTTTGTGATGAGCGTTGTTTTTCGCAGAATGTCAAAAGAGTTGGAAGACTGTAGCCCAAAAGTGTACTTTTTAAAATTTTAGTTTAGGACTGTGTTAGACACATTGCTAAAAAAGGATCTCTCTGCTGTTTTTTTTTCTCTTCAAGATAATGAATCTAACAAAGTAATTAATAATATTGGAGAAATTCACATTATATAAGATAAGGTTAGACGAATCCAGATAACATAATATTTATTTTGTATGCAGTTAAAGAAGCAGAGCTGCGGACTGAACTTCCTATTTTCAGGAGCATACTAAGTAAATTGCAAGACCTACCCCTATCTTTAACTTTCGCTTCCTTTTTTTCTTTCGTCGCCTACCAGCAGCTGCAAAAAATCAACTCGATTGAGACCGATTTACAGAAATCGTAGCAGAGTCACCTTCAGAGTCTTCCACAGCGGTTACGAGATCGTACTCTATGGTTGGCAGTTGAGGTGGCTTTACTCCATAAACAGAAATATGTCTCTGACACAACAGCTAATTTGCTTTTCTATTGTTTTAGAGAGATCAAGTAGTACTCACTTGCTTGTTTTTCACATGACTGTATTTAAATGCTTCTCGGGCTCCTATTTCGATGGCGTCGTCGCCCATAACGATACCATCGATAGAGGTCCCAGATGTTTTCATGGCAGCACAACTGGGGTTCATAACGTGATGAAGAGATGAGGGCCTCTCAACAAGAAAAGTACAGAATCCATCTCTTTCCTGAACTGCGCGGATCCTGTTCCTCAAAGCAACCATGTTCACTTTTGGTGGAATCTGAAGTATGTTTTTCTAGAAGAAAATTGCTTTTCATGCCTGTTTACATCTGATTCCTTAGATAAAAGGAATTAGATGTAAATAGGTATGAAAAGCAATTTTCTTCTAAAAACCCTAGATGAATTTGATCAATTATTTCATGGCTTTCGAGAACAAAAAGAGGTCTTGAATCGCGGAGCAGAGAGTGAGTCGCCTCTTCCCTTTCGTATTCTAATGACGTATTGTAATTGTAAAGATAACAGGTTCAGTACCTTATCAGAGTCCACATCAATTATCCGATCTACAGTAAGGAACGCAAAGGCTCCCATTGTCTGCGGCTCGACCTGAAGATTTGTTCTATTACCCTTTCCGACCGGTATTACAATCCATTGTAGACGTTTTCAAAACAGTAAAGTTGAGAACTACCTCTTGCAAATCTTAATGGCAATGAAACGTGCTTTTAAAAACGTAACATTTACTCAAACGGGGAACAAATAGTCGGAACATGATGCCAGTAAGGCTTTTAATCCATATATGATCTGAATTCACTAAGTTGTCCGAAAGTCTAGAACCTTGGAGATCTGTTTTTCGTCATAAGAATTGATTATATTCCAAATTTTTTATTATAATGGTAGTCTATACCATTGATAGGGAGTTAACTTGGATGTTCTAAGGGCATAACGTGGAATTCTACTTTTGAGTGGTAAGTGTTGAATGTTGCTCGCTTAGATGAGGTATAACTTATTCATGTCTTCACATAGTATTTTGTGGGCTGGAAACCGACGAATACGCTCTAGATACGACCATGTTCCTTTCAATTTTCCTAATTTTTCCAGATTACAAATGTCAAATTTTTGCTAGGATGACGCGAGGAAAATCATCAAAATTTCTTTTCCACCTATTCTGCTTAAATTCAA